GGACTACAGGTATTGCACAAAATCAAAGATATATTTATTTGACAGACAGACATCTGGAGACTCCAAATCCCAAAATCGAGTACAAATGACAATCCATATCCTTGTATACTGAAATCCTATAATTCTTCTTTGCTTGTAAGCACAAGCAGGCCTATTTCATTGATTTGTTCAGGATCAACAGGTTAGCATGCAGAATAACAAATGTTACCCATCAAAACTATCTACCTAGATAAGTTTACCAAATTTGATAGTTTTCAACTCTAAAGCGCCACAATCGAGTCGATCACAAACAAATGCTGGTGAAACACTAGACAACCCGAGTTCAATCCACGCCTCGCCTTGATAATTATATACGCATTTCATCCTAAATCTAGCAGTAACAGACATGCTATTCACAAATTTTTGCAGTAAATCAACAACCATCAATGATATCATATTGAAAAACTAAGAAGGCAATCAATGCAGAGACAACAAGATCTTCACTATATAACCCAAACACATAAATTACAGCAACACCCAAAACCTGAAAATCAATCAAAATAACAATCTAAAAATTGAACCCATGATTACAAAATCCAAAATTCGACCAATTAATTCAAAATTTCGAAATGGGATGATTAAAATAAAACAGAAGAAAAATCAAAACTTACAAAAACAAAGTAAGTGGCAACAAGAAGAAAACCAGGAGGACCAAAAGAGCGCCATGTAAGAGTACCCAACAAGAAAGCAGCAGCAATGCCGGAGAGAGATAGTCCTGAGACCAAAATCGGAGAACCCAGAACAAAGATGACTACATTGGAGAGTACGGCAGATTGCCAAGTGGCGGGGTTAGATTGAACGAGGTTGATTGCACCTGAGAGTGGAGCAACTAGGTCAGTTGGAGATGATTTTGCAGTCAGAAATTCAGACATTTTTGTGGGTTGTGATAATTTATGGTAGATTTGATGATTTTTGTTGGGTTTTTGAGTGGGATTTGGATGGGTTTTTGAGTGGGATTTGGATTGAAGGTGGAAAAGAAAGTGGATTTGTTTGGGTTGTTTGGGAAGTTTTTGGAAATGGAATTCGATAAAGAGGAGGTTGTGATCAATGCTAGTGTTAAAGCCATGATTGCGGGAGTTGTAGTTGACTTGCGCTCGTGTAGAATAGAATATTTGCAGTCCACGATGACAAGGTTTAAAATATTGGAAAAATTCATCGGAATAACCCTATCTTAGGCAGTTCGTTTTTAATAATTCTACCTTTGAGAAATTTTTTAATAATCCGATCTTTGGTCCCTGATCTTTTTTATTGGTCCCAACCGGTCATGTAACCTGTTATAACAGGTTAACATGTTACATGACACGTGGCGGCCAATGATTGGTCAACAAATTTTTTTTAAAAAAAAAGTTAAATTTATTTAAAAGAAAAATAAATAAAAAAAATTAATTACAAAACCACCTACCAGCCCAAGCCACCACCCTTCCCAGCCGGAAACCACCATCTCCTTCCCCTACCCGACCGAAAACCACCGAACAACCACCACAGCCCCACACCCTTCATATGAAACCACCGCAACCCCACTCCCCCTTCACCTGAAACCACCGAACAACCACCACAGCCCCACACCCTTCATATGAAACCACCACAACCCCACTCCCCCTTCACCTGAAACCACCCCTTCCACTCCCAAATCCGACCACTCCACCCCCTTCCTCTCCCAAATCCAACCACCCCACCCCCTTTCCCTCTCAAATCCGACCACCCCACCTTCTTCCCCTCTGAAATCCGACCACCCGCCCCCTTCCCCTCCAAAATCAAACAACCCCACCCCCTTTCCCTCTGAAATCCGACCACCCCACCCCTTTCCCTCTGAAATCCGAGCAATCCACCCCCTCCATGCCGTCGTTGTCCACCGCAACCCTAAACCTTTGAAAAAAAATCCGGCAACCCCCTTCTCTTTCTCTCTCCTCGAGAAGAAGAGATCGAAAATGGTTTCGACCTTCGATTTCCCCTTCAACCAGACCTTCGACCTTCGATTTCCCCTTCGATCTTCGACCTTCGAGCTTCGTCCTTGATGGTTTCATCGGAAATGGCTGGGTTTCGGATGGGGGTTTGCGGTGGTGGTAATGATAGGGGTGGCTGGGTTCTGGGTATGGTTTTTTTTTTTTTTTGTTTTTTTTTACCAATTATGTAATGACACGTGTAAATTAATCTTTTAAAAAAATAATTTACCTACTTAACCGGTTTCAAGTAAAATGGGACCAATAAAAAAGATCGGGGCCCAAAGGTTGGATTATTAAAAAATTTCTCAAAGGTGGGATTATTAAAAACGAACGGCCCAAAGGTGGGATTATTCCCATGAATTTTTCCTAAAGTATGAACTACTCCTTTGTTTTTTAGGGGTTTGTTAAACAACGCTCCCATTTTATTAGGCATCGCTCGCTTTTTTAATATGAATTTCCATACTTACCCCTCGTAAATATATACCCACGACACTCACTCACGACACTCACAACACTCATTTCTGAAATCACATTTTACTCTCATACTTCACTCTCATTTTATCTCTCTAAAATTTTTAAAATAAAATTAAGTAAAATCTGAAAAACAAAAAAACAAAAAAAAAAAAAAAAAAAAAAGCATCCACAACCCACCACTGACAGCCACCAATCTAACAAGGCGAGCAGAAATCCGGCAATGGCGAACCAGCGGCGAATCCGGGTAACGTACGGTGGTCGAGGCGACGGCACCGGAGGCAATCAGGTATGGCTTTAAATCGAAAAAAAAAATCGCAATAGGTAGGATCCGCCTGAAGATTCCAGAAGAACCAAGATAGATCCAAAATTTTTAGGCGGATCTACCCATCCACTTGAAATTTCCGGATGTCTGAGGAGAATCCGCCTGAAATTTCCGGATCCTCCTTGGTTCATCTAGATATTTTAGGCGGATCTACCCATCCGCCTAAAAATTCCGGATGTCCGAGGTGGATCCGTCTGAAATTTCCGGATACTCCTTGGTTCATCCGGAAATCTTAGGCGGAAGTCCTTTTTTCGTGATTAATTTAAAAAAAAACTGATTAATATTATTATTATTAGTAATGTTATTATTATTAATATTGTTGTTGTTGTTGTTGTTGTTGTTGTTGTGTGTATTATTGTTATTAATATGTTGCGATATATGTGGTTTATAATAATTATTATAGTTATTAATATTGTTATTATTGTTATTGTTATTATTGTATTATTATTATTATTATTATTATTGTTATTATTATTATTAATGTTGTTGGTGATGGTGTTGTTCTGAATTTTTTTTTTTTTTAACATTAATATTTGTTGTTCAACTTTAATAAAATAGTTATATTTGTAATTATTACTGATATTTGATTTTGTACTTGTTTAATGTCAATTGAGGGTTCGGGTGCTTGTCTTGCAATATCACGACATTTGAATACGTCTGTTAGGAGGGAGTCATCTCGTTCAATAATTACGGGGGCACTGCATCATCATGAGCAGCAATATGGGTCTCCTAGTAGTTGGTCGGGAGAGCATTAGTCACAAGGGAGCCGCCCCATGTACTCGTCGGGTGGACTGCCTACATCTGACGATGAGGACGAAGATTCGGCAAGTCATGTTGATCGAGACGAAGAGTTGGACCCTCAGGATTATCATACGGTAGGGTCAGCATGGGAGATTTGTTAGTAGTCAAGCGAGTCAACCTACTACCAACTCATCATAGACATGGTTAGTGCAGCAGCCCATGCCAAGTGGTCCTGAGGATGGGATTGTTATCCCTGGTTTTGGTGGTCATGTGGCGTCATATATATGGGGCGGGAAGGAGCGAAATGTTTTGTGCTGTTTGAGTAGGACACAGTTGTGTTCTAAATTGGTTAATTGGCAAGGTCGTCTTGCACAGGAGCACTTCGAATTGATTGATGGCAGTGGTCTGTCACACTTACCCAGGATTATGTTTAAGCGTTTCGACTGGCCGTTGATTTCTGCTTTTGTTGAGAGATGGCAGCCAGATACGAACACATTTCATATGCCATTTGTGGAGATCACGATCATGATTCACGATGTGTACCATATTCTTGGGCTTCGTGTTGATGGTTCCATGGTTTCCACTGCGTGCTCCTAGCACGGACGCCATACGGGACGCGTGCTCGGTTACCATGGATGTGACTGCGGATGAGTTGAATGAGAAGTGCGGTACTAAAACCATTTGGCAGGGTAGTGGGGTGCTGACTAAGAGGATTTTTGGTACGACTTTGGAGGCGCAGAGGCCCTTTAGTGTCCATTATACTGCATACATGTGGTTAGTACTAGGAGGATCACTGTTTTTAGACAAGAGTGGTAACCGCACTCATCCTTCCTTCCTCCAAGGGCTTGTTGTTGAAGGTGTTCCGATTAATGAGTACTCTTGGGGCTTAGCTACTCTAGCCTACCTGTATTGGCAGTTGGGTACGGCATCACGAAAAGATGCTGAGAGTTCAACTACTCTCACCCTCGTGTATCTCCTGGGGTTCATCAGTTGGGAGTAGTAGTCTACCTGAGAGGACTAACATGGATTATGTAAGTAGTTGTGTTTTATTATACTATTAATCCGACTTCCAGTAATTGTAATTTCTATAATATGTTGTTTTCTTATTTGCAGTGGATGAGTCGTTCCATGGAGATTCACCAAAGAGCACTAGATGAGTATCCTAACATGTCGCGTGAATTAAGGGCAATGACTGAGCAGCTAATGTTGACTGGAAGGCGATGATGGGGTTGTAGACTACTCTATTCGTATTAGTGGTTGCATTTTTATTACTTGTCTTCATTATTTTATATTACTTTTTATTCGGCATGTAATGTAAGAACAGGACACTTTTATATTTGGTTTTGTTGGAACTTAGTTTAATTACATAGCTACAACTGTTCAACCTTAGTGAAAGTACATGAATAAGTTCACTACCTAATTAATGCAAACCACATGTTCCTTCTAACTTCATATTGCTGATCCCATCCATCAACACTTGGCTAGTGGTGCTCGGTCCACCAACCTTCAATTGGGGGAATAGGTGAATCTTGTGCAAGATCAAGACAAATGAAATGTGATCCACCAACTGTAGCTATCATGAACTCTCGAGTGAGTGCCCTAACCGTGCTTCGTGCCTGCAACGGTAACATCGCGATGCATGGGTAGTAGCAGGTTGGTACGCTGCCTATACCGAGACAAATCACCCTTGCGTTGAACCAAGTAGCAATAGGAAATAAATCTTGAATTGCTACCATCCAATGCCGCATATCAACCGCCCCACCATCCCATCGAATATGTTCTACATTCATCCAAACCCTTCCAATCCCGTAAATCCTTTCGTACAACATTAGATGAGCGGCGACCTCGTTTGCTATTGTTTCCCGAGCGGTAAACCATTGCGCTTGATCACCAAAGAAGAAGACAGCCACACAACGAAAGCCACAGTTTCCATCACCAATGACATCCTTCCATGTCGTGATGTAAGGCAACATCGGTCCTGGAAGCAAGTGCAAATACCTGCATTGACTGATGTCACATTGATCTTTTGCACAAAATTAATGGTCATTTATTAGTATGCTACAAGATGAAATATGTGTAATTCACAATAGGCGTGTGATTCACAAGTGCAAATACGTGTAATTTCATGAATTACCTGAGGTCGTACATGTTTGTTGTGTACCACGTTGAGTGTTTCGACGGTTTACATGTACGAAGTAACAAGGATCATGCCTGGTATCATTGTTCCTTCGTCGACCTTGAACATTGTGGTTTACATGTGGTTCTTCAAGGTTTGTATGATCCGGATGCAGCTCCTCTTCAATGATGCGAGATACATTTCGAAGTATAGCAGGATCACTACCAATGACCTCATCAACCAGGGAACGAAAATGTGCAGCTTCCTTGGTTGAATCGTTAACGAACACAGGTATGTCAACATCATCACCAATAACCAAGGTCTTCCAGAATGGATGAATTTGCCTGATATACAAGCCTGACTGTGCAACTAGTGAATCATGTATTCGGCAAACACATGGTAAACCATGGGTCACACGTATTGCACATCCACAACGCTCATATATCTGGTAACTCAACTCCCTCATCCTTCTCGTCTCATCATCGAGAATTTTCAAACAATGTTGAGACACTTTGCCATTTATACGTGACAGTGGCAATTGTCTGTACTTCTCACCAATTTTCGATCTTGATGCCTCCAAATTAAACCACTACGAATTGCAATGATCTGATTACCAATATGACAATGTACTCGGGCCCATACGGTATCCAAAGAACCTGCCGTTGATTCGAATTATAAAAAAAACATTATGATTTTTAATTAAAATTACTAAAACGAAGTAAAGACAACAACTATAACATTATAACAACGAACCTGTCGATGATTCAAACCACGACTTCACTGCCGAATGTTGGCTCTCAACTCTACAATTACTCGTGTTACCAAAGTGAAGAACTTGGTTCGTCCAAAATGACACTAATTTGATTTTATGACAAAGCCATGTCCTCTCAATGTAAGTAATCATTGCTGGATAACTTGCCCACCTAGCTTTCATTGTATCTACAACAACATTATAATCCGCCTCGGTTGTAGCATCCATGATACGTTTCCATTTTCCATTTTTAAAACTCGCACCGATCTTCTTATTTTTGAACATATCAGTCACCCTAGCCTCCACATCTTTGTTAATATGCCACCGACAAAGTAAATGCGACGTCCCTGGAAACACTTCTCTCAATGCCGCATAGAGGCCAAGTTCACGGTCTGACAAAGATACCGATGCTTCTTTATCATACCCAATCATCTCCCTTAATCTTTGCAACACCCACCGATAGCTTGCCGTGCACTCGTTGCGCATGAACACATAACCAACGAGGAAATTCTGATTTGTCAGTGTTACACCTACTATCTCAAATAATGGCATCCCGTATTGGTTGGTCTTGTATGTCGAATCCATACCGATTACATGTGGGTATGTGCGTTGTATGTTTACCGTGATTGGGTGCACCATAAATGCATGTTGTAGAACGCCGAGGTCATCGGCCATGACCCAGTAAATATACTGACTTTGTCTCGCCAAATGAAGAAATTGCTGAACAACTCCTCTACCTTCAGACATCTCCGTTCTCAAGTCATTCCGGCAATTGTAAATGTGTCTGATGTTTGGATGGTCATTAGGAAATTGCTCTGCAATAGTTGCCATGATGTTACGCGGTGCAACCTTGGACTTTGTCATGTCACGCACAACCTTTTTTGCACCCGGGCTCAAGCCACTAATTTTACGATGACCCTCTTGATACACAATCATTGGATGATTATGGGTCCCAGTTTCATTATTTTTTTGCACGGATCTTCCAACTGTCTGTGATGAATTCATAATATATCTTGATGTAGAAAGGACAAGCATTAGCTTTGGTTTTTGTGTCCTTTCGTATTGCGTTCTCCAAATCTCTCGGCTTGCTCTTCTGTCCCTGATCACATTTCAAATATCGATATAGTCGACCATCTCTGGTTTTGTAGACAATTTAACCAAAATAAATCCCAGATTGATGGAAACAACATCCGCCCATTTAACTGCATCATTAGGCGTTGGAAATAACGTGTCCATGACAAAATTCACACTATAATTCACACGATCACCGCCGTCTTCAGACTCCAAATCCTATCAAAATAAAAGAAAACACACAAAATTCTCCAATATATTTTTTTTATTATAATATTATAAAACAATAATAATACTATAATATCACTAATCACAAGTTAAATAGTAAGATTGATCACAATAATATATTTAAACACTAATAATAATAAGCAAATAATAAATAAACCAATATTAAATAATATCACAACATTAACTAAATGGACCATTATATAGTCCAACTTACACAAAGGGCAATATCGTCCTTCCATGTCAAAAGGGAACGATGCCTTGTAAAATGGGAGCGTTGTTTAGCAGTCACTTTTTGTATTAAGTGTCCCATACGGGAGGTGATACACATAGACTTAGTCTATGTGTAGCCCCACATAGACATCTAATGGTATGGCGACACATCAGCGTTGTAAAGCTTGCGAGATTCCCGCCTAAGAAGAGAGCAGCGGTAAAGGGGTTGTGGATGAAATTATGGCACCATTTTGTAAAAAAACATTACTTCTTCTAGCAAGGTATTGTTCTGTAGTTTTAGAAACAATTTATATGGTAATGGCAAACGAAGTTCAAGAAATTCGTTGAATTGAAACTGAAGTAAGAAGGTCGAAACTTTTTTGGGCAACATTGGAGATAAGTTTTAAAGCAATTGATCAGGTTTAAATTGTATAATTGAAAAATTTTCTCTTGATTTAACATAGCTATACCGAGTAAATTAGGAATATGTTGTATTTGATGAAAAGGTTTTTTTACAAAGAAATATAATTGATTTGAAGGTTTTTTTTTTGACGAAAATTGATTTGAAGATGTAAGGGTTGAAGAAGATATGTTTTTAGTTTTGAAATGAATTTGCAATCCATGGTTTTAGTTTTAATGTAGTATGTCGATGCACTTGTGTGGGAAGTTAATGGTTTATAGTTAATAATGTACAAGTATAATGTAGTTATTTCTTGAGTTTTGAAAATTATTAGCAATATTAGTGAGATAAGAATTTTTTTAGTATCAATATAATTTACTGTGGTATAATTAAGTTTTAAGTGTTTTGTGATAATTGCAAAGCATTTTTACCTTAATGAAAAATCTGTTTAAAGCCAATTTCTATTGAAAAGGACCGTGCATTATTATTATATTGATCTAAATGAAGTTGTAATGGAGAGTGAGGAGGGAAAGGATGAGGGAGATCTTCAAATAGCATATGCCTCATAAGTTGTAATGGGGTGTGAGGAGGAGAGAGAGAGAGGGGTCAGTTGTTGATGGAGATGGGTCACTAGGTGGGGGGTATTGAGCGGCGACTCAAGTGGGGGAGAAGGGATGCCACATGAAGGGGGTGGTTGAATTTCCTGGTGGAGGTGGTGGTGGTTTTTTATTATAATTTTTTTATTTATAAATAAATTTAATTGTTAAATAATTAATTGAGTTAGAGGGTAATTAAGAAATGGGGGAAATTATATGGTAATTAAATGAATTAATAAAGGTGCTTGGCTTCGACAAAAAAAATTTACAATCAAGTTTTAACTTGCCAAAAATAATTTATAAGGTTTATTTGACAAAAACGTTGTTATAAAAGGTTTTATTTGACAAATTTTCCTAATAAAAAACAATGATGTAATTATAAAATAAACTAATGATATCAATATCATATTTGACTTGAGTGGAACTTTTTAGACATGACTAAAACTTTAATAAAACTTTACTACACATTATTTGATTGGACTAAAACTTATTAGAAGTTATTAAACCCAATAAATATGATAAAATCCTATCTGAATATATTAGTCCTAAAACTTATTTAATAAAGGTGAACAAAACACAACGTAAATTGGTAAATCTATATTTTATATATTAAAAAGCGTTCCTAAAAATATTTATGTGCCACGTGGCACCCTCGCCACATCATCTTTCAATTATGAGCATATTCTAATGAAAAGTGTTTATCATGAGATTTGAACTCCCAACCACTAAAATATATTGTAGAAGTTTTACCATCTCATCTATTGAATAATGATGATTTTATACTCGACTCATAAATAGATATATGGATTGGAGATATGAACATTTAATAACTGCAATTTTTTTTATTTTTTTTATATAAAAAAAATCGATTCTATTATTTTCAAATAATACTCATCAAGGTAATGAATGCACGAAAGAATTGATGATAGTTATGTCTTTGTTTTAATTATATTTTATTATATATATGAAGGACATGTTTGTATAATTAGTCAATAGATGTTCTAAAGGCTTTATAAAAAAACTATTATAATTAAACAAATAATGAATAAATAAATAGTAGTAATAAAAAATGAACCAATCTATTTAGTTATAAGGCCCTGTTTAGTTCACCTAATTTTTACTTATTTCAGAAAAAATAAGTTCAGATCAGATCAGATCAGAAAAAATAAGTTCAGATCAGATCAGATCAGGAAAAATAAGTTCAGATCAGATCAGATCAGAAAAAATAAGTTCAGATCAGATCAGATCAGAAAAAATAAGTTCATATCAGACCAGATCAGAAAAAATAAGTTCAGATCAGATCAGAAAAAATAAGTTCAGATCAAGTTATTATTATTATTATTATTATTATTATTATTATTATTATTATTATTATTATTATTATTATTATTATTATTATTGATTTATGATGTATCGGATTTGATTTTATCGTTTGTTTGAACTAGCAACATTGTCTATGTTATTAAATAGCACAAACAATAAACGATAATAATTAAAATTTCATTATAAGCTCCAAATCATAAACGTTTACAAATATAATTTTCATTACAAGAAGTTCCAAATTTCCTTCTCTATATTAAGTTGTACTTCTTTCATTACAGCTTTACGATTCTCGTTAAACAAATCATAATCTGCTCTTGGTTCGATTTCTATACCACTATCAATGGGTATATCCAACTCATGTAATCGAATAAAATTGGTGAAGTGTGAATGTAGCAACCATAATTGCCAATTGATGTTTAGTGTCCATTTGTGGCATCATTGTCAATATTTTCCATCGACCTTTTAATTGTCCAAAACATCTCTCGATCGTTGTTCGAAGTGAAGAATGAAGATAATTAAAAAGTTCAAGCATGCCTTGTGGTGGTGGACCATTTCGAAATTCAGGCAAATGGGTTCTAATATCTTTTTCTTTTATTGGACTCAAATATCCAACGGTATTCGGATATCCAGAATCTACTAGATAATATTTTCCTGTTACAAAATAAAGTTATACAGCATATTAGTATGGTGTCATGTATTGAGTAAAAACATACACTATTTTAAATTATACCTGGAGGTGGATGGGGAAATCGAAATTCTGGAACAGTTAAGCAATGGTTCCATACAGTGATATCATGAGCACTACCTTCAAATCCAACGTTGATAAACGTGAAAAGCCTATCAAAGGAACAGGCAGCCAAAACATTCCATGTTTTTTTTCCTTTACGCCCTAGATGTGCCACACCATCATCATCGCTTACAACTGCATTTATATGAGTCCCACCCAATGCTCCAACACAATCCTAATAGTTCATTAACATTTAGGATAAATTTTATAAGTGATTTTATATTGCATATGCATAAAATAATATAATGACAATGCAAGATAATAATGTTTCTTAATACCTTGAAATATGGCCAATATTTTGTGTTGTCACCTATTTTTTTTGGCACCACGGTCAAACTTTGGTATGGTCTTATGATCTCGGTAGACAAATGAACCATTGCTTCCAGTACTTGTTTAAAGTACAACCCAATTGTTGCAATAGAGTGCTGAAATCGACCGGCAGCATCACGATAAGAACTGCCTTTAGCCATGATATATAAAAATATTCCTAATTGCTCAGCCACAGATATGTAACGACCATCCGATAATAAATTTTTATCTTTCATGCAAGTAACAAGATCCACAAATATGTTTCTATCTAATCTCAATTGTTCTTTGCATAAATCAGGATGAGCATGTAGTAGTCTGTTTATGTATTCGCTACCAGATTCTCCACCTAACCTTAGAGGCAATCTCTCAATTGGTGTAAGAAGTCTCTTTAGCTCTTCCAATGCGATAATTGTCAAGCACATTGGAAGTGTGTTATCCATTCTACAACATAAACCAACAAAATACCAACATTATTCAATTTGTAAAATAAAATAAACAATGACTTTTAAAATAAAGGCTAAAGCTTCTTAATTAGATCACCTGAAAAGCAATAGCATCATATGAAGCTACTTAAACCTAAAGGTCAGAAAAAATAGTAGCTTCATATGTGGAACCTTAATTAAAACTAGAACAACATCAAACAACTAACAAAGAACGTATGAAAGTGCAAAACAAGTCATAGAAAAACATAAGACAAAGTTAACTTCAAATACTCATCACCCCAAAAAACCTAGTTAAGGACCACCCAATGATGGATCTTGAAATGCTGTCTTCAAATACATTATCTTCTGATCATCACTTCGAAGACCTAAGAAGAAATCTGCATTATTGCCATGATGAAGAAAATTCATACATTGGTAAATAAATCCTTCTCCTTGTTGAACAATAACCTCAATATTTTATAGAGCATCTGAGACATCTTTATACTTATTACCACTCCCTTGATTACAATTAGTTTCAATAGACATTTTCAACAACTCTATACAAGAGTCAATGTTACTACTCTTGTTGTTTTTAAGTTTACTAGTACACCCATCACTCTTACGTTTCCCCAACGAGGTACTTTTAGGAGGTGAAATGCTCTGTTCATCATCCGAATTATTTATTCCCCTACTTATTTCTATATCTCCTATATTTTCATCACTGTCCCCAGACCTTTCCTCATTTTCTTTACCAATTTGTTCCCCACCTAATCCTGGAGAAAAACTCCATTTGCTAGTAGCAAAAGACCATGAAAAAAGTGCCCGTAACTTCTCTAGATGAGGCAATGGTCTCCTTAGGAATCTCGCTGGAATACCTTTATGTTTCTGCATAAATGCACAAAATTTCGATTAAATAAATTTTAAAATAAATTAGCATTGTAGAGGTCATAATGCAACAAAATGGTTAAAAAAAATGTCGTACCTTCACAAATATATTCAACCTATCATCTTGTTCAACTAGAGGACAACTAGTAATAGGATCAAATGTAAGACCGGTCCAATTGAGTTCCATTTCATTCCAAATTTTGAACCTTTTCCTTAAATCATCCCAATGATTTCTTTCTTGTTTAATATTGAAATTCTTCCCACTTTTAACGTTCAAAGTACTCACTATTCTATCCCAATTAACCTTTGATAGTCCACCCGCTTTCATCTCTAAGCATATGTCCAAAAAAAATTTTGTGCTGTCATCAGATAATGCTACCCTACCAGCCATTACACTATGATCAAGAGCACTTTAAAATTATTAGTTTCATGCATGAAAGATATAAATAATCAAAATAAGTACATAAATATATACGCTACGTTTCTTATGTATATAGTATTTATCCTCAAAGCAACGCAACCAAACTCCACCATTTAAATTATTTTCCTTATTTACTTTTATAAAAGACATGCAACCTCGATATCCTCCTTTTTCCTTGGTGTGTGTGTGAGGCCGTGTGGGGAGAGGAGGGGGGTTTGTAAATCACTAATGTCTACATACTAGAGGTAGCTTGAATTTGGCTAAAGTAGTGGTAATAATTGAATCTCAAATAGATAAGTTCTTTACTTGATGCTATTATAAGTGGACAAGCTCTTTACTAATTCATCTCTTCTTTTACTGTATTAACACTATACGTATTACCAAAATAAAGTATTATCAATCATTATAGCAATGGTCACCCAAAAAAAAAAAAAGACACTATACGTATTACCAAAATAATTTAAGTGTTATCAAAATAATTATAGCATGGACCACTTATAACAAGTATAGTAAAAGATTTCCAATATTAGATTAATTCTATTCTTTTCCTCCTTTGCCAGTTTTCCCCATGAGCACCCCCTTCACCGCCACCGGCCCCACCCCCATAACCATCAGCATAATACATGACCCAACTCTAAACAATTAAACCCATAAAGTAAACAATTCACAAATCACAAGTATTGTAAAAGTTAAATAACAAGGTGACAATCGATAGATAATTTTCAAAAAAAAAAAATGATATATCATCTTATCACCTACTATACAATCATCAATTTGACTAATAATTTGACTACACAACATAATAATTGAAAATTAAATAATTCCTCCTTAGATAAAAATTCAATTGAAACAATAATATACTCCGTAACTAGTAAATTACCCGATGAAGTGATGATTGTAGACGAAATTATGAAAATATAATAAAAAAAAAACAATAAAGAGTTAAGGTATTTACCTATCGACGAGATTGTATACGAGCAAGCTACTACAATGACCAACAGAAGGACAAAATTTGGGAGAGATTGATGTGTTGTAGGTAAGAAATATTGCAATACGAAAAAATATATATACACAAAAAAACTGTAGTACCAAACTACCAACACTCCCAATTAATATTTTTGTCAGTCAACTATGCAGATTTCTATGATAAAGTCATAAAACAATACTTTTTCAGGAATAAAACAATACTTGATATGTAAAGAAAAAACAGCCAACCATGCACCATGCAAATACATGTCTGGTATTCATTTCCTAGGATAAAGTCAATGCGCCATTAATTGTCGGTTATTAGATTAGATTAATTATTGTAAAATGAGATAATTAGAGAAAACCCAGTTCAGTTTTCTAGAATTGACAGGCAGTAAAAATACAGTACCGAGAAAACCCAGTTCAGATTACAGAATAATTAATTTAAAATAAATAAATTAAACAAAATAAAAATGTGAGTTCAGATAAAAATCAAAATCTTAGGATAATAAAATCAACACATCTGAAAAACTGATGTTGGTGGATAGATCGTGGAAGCTTTAAAAGAGGAAGATTCAAATTAAGAAATTACATACCGTACGGTTGGTCTTCAAGAAGAACATCATCATCCTTTTCATTGTCGTCTCTTTCAATTTATCTCATTAAAATATTGTTTGCCTCTCAATGTAGCTCAAACATTCAGTAGAACACTGAAAATCGGCGTGAACAAATTATCGGCGCACGGGATTTCATAATAACAGGTAGATCCGGTTGACGATATTGGGTAAGGATTGATTTTTTTTTTCACTTTGAAAACCCTCATTCTGGAAATGGGAATGGTTTTACAGAACATGAAGATGGTAAGAACATGGGGAATATCGCCACTTTTGGTATTTATTTTTCTGTTTTTTACTTTTTTTAATTTTTTTAATTTTTTAAGGGATAATTTTTTAAGGGAACATGTAGTTTTGAGAATATAAAGTTGTAGTTATATTGTGTTGATTGATTTAAGTTATGATTATAAATAAAATGTGGGCTCATTATGTTATAGTAATATGGATAAAATAGTCATTGTACAAGGAAAAAATTGTCAAAAAAGGAAAATTTTATTTTTTTGGCACTTTTAATTTACTTACGGAGTATAATTCGTGCGTGACCCAAATCATGTCTTCCAAGTTTCAATAGAGGGGCCTAACGCTAACATGGGTCGGAAGAACCTATGAGAGGTTCGGACTCGGTAGAGTCTTTTTCTTTATTTAAAAAAAAAAGGTTCAATAGAGGAACAAATGAATAAAAAAAACACTTAAACACACACACGAAACAAGTTAAATATAAAAGCTTAAATAAAAAAAAGGAAAATGAAATCTAATAATCCCACCTTTGCTCCATCTTCCAGAAACAATCTCACCTTTTGAAATTTTAGAAACAATTCCATTTACAATAATGATATTATTATTATTATTTTTAATAATATAATATAATATAATATAATATAATATAATATAATATAATATAATATAATATAATATAATATAATATAATATAATATAATATAATATAATATAATATAATATAATATAATATAATATAATATAATATAATATAATATAATATAATATAATATAATATAATATAATATAATAATATAATAGTAATATAATAATAATAATATAATATAATATAAATAACATAATATAATAATAATAGTAATAATAATAATAATAATAATAATAATAATAATTAAACATTAATATTAATTAACATTAAAAGTAGAATATTGAAATAATTAAAATAAGGTCAAATCAGAAAAAATAAGTTCAGATCAGATTAGAAAAAATAAGTTCAGATCAGAAAAAATAAGTTCAGATCAGATCAGATCAGATCAGAAAAAATAAGTTCAGATCAGAAAAAATAAGTTCAGATCAGATCAGATCAGCTAAAATCAGGTGAACTAAACAGCCTCTAAGTATTCAAAGTAACAACCCGGTGCATAGCCCTGGCCAAACACTAGTACTTTAATAAATCATAGTTATCCAATAATCAATTCTTCTTTAAATTGTAATTATTGCCTCGATTTTCGTGCTCAAAATCTTCTTAATTTGCGTGCCAAGAAAAGTGCTCAGATTTTTGGGGTCATTTTAGGTCTCAAGATTCAAAGTTAGAGCAATAACTAGCTTAAATCCCGTGCAATGCATAGTTTTACCAAAGTTTATACTCCTTCTATGTTTAAGCGGTATCCCTATATAATTTATCTTTCATTTGCTAATCTAATTTGATAAGAACTTAATTTTTTAGATCTGATTGTCTGGTTTGACCGAACATTGACCTTATATGTACACTAATGACTAATCTAGGTAATTTCATTATCTTTAATATAGTGAGATTTAAGTGGGGGTATACGCCCTTCATTTTTTAAAGTATTACACTTTAACCGGCGCATACATTTAGGTAAATTAAGTGAATTGAATGTAATATAAAAATATGTAAGTAGGATAGGGAGTATTAAATAATTATAAGATAGGTATAATAGGATATAATTTATATGATAGGTATCATAGGATGAATTTTATAAAGTATAGTTAGTGGAGATATATTTAATTGTTATGAGGAAAGAGAAAATAATAATAAAAGCTCACATTTCTTTTTTGGCTCCCCCTTTTGCTCATAAAAAAAGAAATATAAGTGAGAAAAAACTTGTGTGGACCTATTTCACAATAATATTATTGTGGACCAAAGTCCATACATG